ACTTAACATCAGCAACAATGCTGAAATACAATATTCTAATATGGGTGGGGAAAACAGTAGCCAAGGGGTCTCTAAATCTTACTGAAATGTGCCAACTTCAGCTTATACTTAAAGAGAGAGATTCCTCTATTTTCCTTGTGATCTAATGCAAATAGATGAACAACTCTCCTCATAAAACAGTATAACACAGCAGTCTACATACTGTGTGGATGTGTTCAAGTTAGAGATGATCTTCAGGTCTTGTATGTGATCTAGATCCTGAAGTGCTTGCCTGTGAATGATGGTTTTTTCTTCCCCTTTTCTTTTAAAAAGTGAGCTTTATTTTTAGTGGAATAAAAAAATAGTCAGGAGCATGAAAGGAAAGCAAAGAAAAAATTACAATAAGGTCAAGAGCCACACAGATAACCTAAATGACCTTATCTGGCTCAGTGTCAGAGTCGCAACTAATATCTGAACGACACATGAAATTATCTCTACTTAAAAAGCCTTGCCATTTTGCTTCAACTATCTAGTTAAAAAGGCTAAAGGTCAAGATCTCTACGTACGTGTACTTACATACATACATCTATTTATATAGACTTATCTGTGACCTTCTATTTATGCATATACACACATGTATCAAAACATGGGGTGTTGTTAAAAGTCAGAAACACCGATTGAGAATGTTCTGTTATGCCTTTTCATGAGGCTTCTGCAACATCTGCTTCAGAGGGACAATTCAAAACTATTCAACAAAGCACCTAATTAAAATTTTCACCAAGTCACACTGGTGTTATGACCATGCTGTAATTCAGGGTTCCTTCAGTTTGGAATTAACAGAGCTGGGAACCCCTCTGAATCCTGTTCTAACCTCTCTTAACCTAGAATGACCTCTAGAACACAGAATCAAAAAATCAGGTTGGCCTGTCAATCCCTTATGGGAAGTAAGCACTCTCCAGAACAAAACAACATCACATCATTAATACTGGAAAAAACAAAGAGCAGCCAAAGCAGATTCTCAATTTAAGGAAGCTATAAAAACTCTTTCTTATGGGAGCTGGTTCCTGAACCATTGAAATAGAAATAACTGGGACCTCCTCCTTTCAAGAGAAGGACTCATAATTCCACAAAAACTTTGAGACAGCCACAGTCTCAAAACTCACATCCACAGAAAGCTATATTTTGACAGCCACTGATGGCAGGAGCAAAAAAAAAAAAAAAAAAGAAGATGATGTTCCTAATACACAGACAAAGAAAATACATCTCTTTATTTTTAAGTTCACAATATTTTTATTTCTCCCTCTGCCTTCCTAACTTCCTCCCACCAAACCAAGCTGTGTCATCAGGCAAAAAAAGAAAAGATTCACACCAGTTAAGAGTTTCAGTTGTGAAAGGATCCTGATACAGCGATAGTCCCTCTGATAAAAATAGAAAGCATGACACTTGAGAAGTGAAATATCTATTGAAAAACAGAACTAAAAAAATATTTGAAATGCTGTAAACCCAAAAGACCAGGCAATGAGTAGGGAACTGGTGCAGATTTTCTCCATTGACAATGACATTAGTTGCATGGTGAAGTTTGGAAACTTGTCTCTACGTGTTGTACAGTTATCATCACAGTCACTAGTACGTAGCCTTTATTACAAACAGGAAAGCGTGATTCTTGATTCAAGCAATTTAATTATACCTAAATCTTGTCATGTATGCAACTGAGAACCAAAAGGGTGCACATTTTTCAAAATATTTTATAACCATAAAACAGAGTTTAAAAGAGCACAATAATATTACAATCATTCATGGTGTATATTCTGAACAAAAGGACAATACAAACTAAATAGCTTAATTGCCACTCTAAATGATTACACAGAGGGAAGAAAAAGTTCACAGAACTGTAGGATTCTTGCTTTCCAAGTACTGTGCATTTTCTATTAGAAGTGAGTTAATATAAGCTATCTTTGAAATATGCATGCGTATTTCAAGGAGATTGGAAAGAGCAGACATCCTGTTAGGATCTCACTCATGTCTCTCATGTCCCTGAACATATATATGCAGTGGAAGGCTCAGAACAAGGTTAAAAAAAAAAAAAAAAGCCTCCATCCTCACACCAGCAACTCCAGAATCTGTGTACTAAATCTCATACCTCTGAGTAAACTGTGAACATCTTAAAACCTCATGGGGGCAGGGTGGCTGGGAAAAAAAAAAAAATCAAGCAGAATTTTATACTAGCATGGTCTTGACACAAGACAAAATTACCATGCTGAGCTGAAAACTTTTTTTAAATTGCAAGCAAAAATAGGTTAGTTGTCTTTTTGGTGAGTTCAACAGAATGCACACGAGAACATTCACTTGAGATTACATACAATTCCACTCATATACAGCTCTTACATCTGCTGCTAATGATATCAAATCATTGATTGTTCACTTTCTTATTTATTTAAATATGATCTACATGCTCTGAAACTTGATGCTTTTTTTTCCAAAGAACTTTTTACTTTTGCATGGCTTCAGTTGCAATTACTTTGATCTTTCAGAATATATAATTGTTTTACTGTTTATTTATTTCTATGAACAAGGAAAAAAGTTTGACCTAAGAGATCTATATGTGGCAATTTGTAACAGAATCATGAAGCTTATGTTTAGGAAATCATGGTTTTGATTAAAAAGCAACCATTTAGTTCCCACTGTTTTATTAAAACAGACATTAGCAGATAATAGGAAACACATTTAACACTGTAGGCTGCATTTAGTTTGAAACATCAATAAAGTAATTCTGAAGCTCCTTCATATTTTGCATTTACTACAGCTCATGTGAATTGTTTTTTGTTTTTACTTTCTAATAACCAGCTCTAGACTTACATATGGATAGGGTTCTTGCCTCAGCAACTCCAAATGAGTTTTACCTAAGCTATTCTGATTACAACCCCAAAAGTGTAATATTGTGTCATGCATCTACCTTTCCTTTAAGGAACATGTGATGAATGAAGCATGTAAGTCACTGAGTTTGAGTACTAATTGAGGTGTCCCATAAAAATATCTGTCTATGCAAAAGAAACAAAACGTCATTAAAACAGAAATGAGAAATTGAAACTGCCCAAAGAAGTGCCCTTCCTGTTTCCAGGAGGCCTAGATTATTGCCCTGAATTTCCACGACTGCTTTTTCTTCATGCACCAAAGTACCTGCCATAGATTCTTTGTTTTCTCTTCCACTCATATGGCTGATGAATCAACACGACTTGAACTGCTTTATAGCAGCTTGTGTTTACTTCACACATACCTTAACCTTCCTTTTCCTCCTCCTACTAGCATACACATACGCTTCCAAACAGCAGCAACTGGCTGTATCTCTTTGAATAGCACGTATGCAGAGTTATCTGGCAAATTCTTCAGGTTTGGATCCTTGACCTTTTGATTGAGGTCTCATTCTGCTTTTATGGCACTTAACAATTTAACTGTGCACTTATTAAGTTTTTTTTTTTTAAAAAGGAGCTTAAAGAATTCAATGTTCTAAGAATGGAAGAAAGTAGAAGACAGCAGTGTGCTAGAAACACTCAGAAGCTGTAGTGGCATCTCTACTGATAAGAACACTACAGTTAAGGGCTTCCAGTGCCTCGGTAACTGGCATTACACCCTTGCCCAGTTTGGTGGGGGGGAAGAGGGGGAAAGCCTATCTCTGCTCTCCAACAATGGCAAGTAAACCAAACAGTGATGACCTTGAAGCTATTCGAGTCCTTTGATTGTTTCTAACCAAGAGGATATGTTATAGCACTTCAAATAAAATTCTTTTATTAAGAGATACCATTTAGAAAAAAGACACACTTCTGCATAACACAATGGCAATTTAGAGAGAGAAAAAACTACCAAGTTTATTCGGCATCAACATTTTTACTTCAATCCTAAGTCACTTTAACAGGTGAAGAGCAACACCTGCATTTCCACATCCACACTGTTACCCACATCTGCCTGAACAACCTTCCTTCCATCCACAGATAAGTTTTCTATAAAACATTCCTTTTTATTTCTGCCAAGTGAAAAACTAATCACCACACAGCTGAGAGTCCTACAGGTATGTGCAGCATAAACCAGACATGCATCAGAAAAAATCCACATGCCTCAGACCTTGTTCTGATATTCCATGCAATTTTGTTTCAGGTGCTCCTAATTCAAAAGGCAGATTCTTGATGATATCGTGCAGATTTCTAGTCTGCCCTATGGAAACTAAACAAGAAGCCTTTCCCAGCTCATTTATGCTGTTATTTTTTTGTGCGTTTTTAAGAGAAAAGACTGCGGATTTTTTGAAAGACGCTAATCTTTGTGTGACTAAAAACACAACAGCTTCTCAATTAGGACAGGACATTACTGTAGTTCTACATAACATTTGTGAATCCTGTTACGACTTTCCTGTCCACTGAAAGGATCACAAACAGAAACAACAAAAGAAGCCTATGCCTTCCTTCAGACAACAAATCTTCCCCAGTGGTGTAACAGAAACAAAGATATAGAAACAAAATGTTATTTAGCAACGCCTCCAAGCAACCAGGTACCAAATGCTCCACTGGTATCCAGATTCCACACCAGAAAACATGGCAGGAATGTCAGTATATTTAGCAGGATTTTAAACAAAGAGCAAAGGCACTTGTTACTGAGACAAGCTCTTTAGGTTTCATGATTATAATGCAACTAAGGTGATTTACAAAGTAATTACAGTTTTAAATTCTGGTCTACCAGAACACTTTTTTTTCCCCAAAACATTTTAGCATAATTCAAAACACAGCGATCTTTCAGCACAACTAAATGGTACATTATAAGCATGTATTAAGTGACTTGCATTTCATGACAGCCTTGTTTGTAAAGTATCAGATCTAATTTTAAATGTGCTGTGACCGTTCCCTCTTTGTAGACAAACTCACTAATATTATTAAAGCTTACCATCACTTTTACTTAAAGTAAATAATCGCAAACCATCAGCAGAAGTTCAACAAGTTAGAAAGTAAAAAACAAAACAAAACAAAAAAACAATTTACCTTTAATCTTCTTGTACTTCTTGTACCATCTCCCAAACTCCTGGCACTTGGTTGCTGATACATTGGCATAGTATGTGCTATTTACAATGGATGAAATCATACTCTGGAAGTACAGGAAAAAAAAAGACAAAAAATGTATTAAAATGTCTTGCATAATTTGTAATTTTTCCAGGGAAAGTGAATGACATGTACATGCACAGTGATCATCCCTTTTTGCCTTTAAAAACAAAAAGCAGTGTTTGGTGAGAACACAAAATTGGTTTTATTCTCCACTGTACATCCCCAAACATAATTACTCTGGTTCATAACAAAGCAAAAACAGTGCAGGACAAACCCAGCATGAAACCTACAACACAGGCTGAAAGCAGGAGTAGTTCTACTTCCATTTGTACTTGTGCTACTGGTGCCATACTGGGGAGCACGGGCTTGCTGCATCCAGGTGAGAACAATCATGACGGACCTTTAGGAACCAGATCCTAAAGGTAAGATTAGATGCTCCAGCATGCAGAAATCAAATGAATGCTTTTCAGCTGTCTCTATTCTACTTCAAATGCAGCAAGACCACACAGCCAACAATGAGAGAACATTTGTGCTACTCTCTACAGAATGTTTAGGCAAATAAGTTAAATTAATGTAATTTATAGAAACATGTGATTAGCCCTTGTGTGAAAAATCACCCAAAAGAGAAATTAACAGTGATGTTCACAGTGAAGGGAACTATGCATACTGCAATACAGAACAGCCAAAAACCTCAGCAAAGATCAACAAAACTGAAGTACCGCTTGTTTAACCACCACCACTCTGCTCTTTGTGAATTCTCTCTTAGTGACTCAAGCAAGCCAACTGGAAGCAGAGAAAAGCAGTGCTGTTTTGCAGCACCTGATGCACATAACAATGATACTTCCCATCTGGGATGCTTCTGCATATAAAATGGGAAAGAGTCTGGTTACTGGTAGTTTTTCCTTTTTTTTATTTTTCAGGTTTCTTTATCCATTCTAGAGAGGGGGCAACTTTTTAGAAATAACGTTTTGCTTTTCTTCCCTTAACTCTTCCAGGGTTACTTGCTCTTAGCATGTGTACAACTCAAGGAAATGAAATCTAACACCACTAACACATGGGAGTCAATGTGCCTTCTTCAGAAACTACAGTTTTCTTCTGCTGTCTTTCGTCACTTAATGTGAAAGTCTAGAAAAGCACTGGCAACGTTACACAACATTCCTGCACAGGGATGAGAGAACAGAAGTTCAAGCTCTTACTCACAGGCTCCTGTAAGCTCTTGTGCAAAACAGCATCTAAGCTATCTCTGTAAAGCTACAAGGCTTACACGTAAGCTTACTCAATTTTAACAGTTTTAAAATAAAAAACATCCCCTCCCTCCTTCTGCCACATTCATCCTGTCTTCTAACAAATTCACTCCAGCAACTCCAGTTGTTCTTAAACCTTGAGTTTAGGGGACTTAAAAACCAATGTACTTGAGAGTACTGGATGGTGTAGACTGCTATAGTCCTCAGCACATAATTTCACTTTCAGTAAACAGGGTCTTCTGCCTTTGCACTTTAACTTTTCCTCTAGAAAGCTACTATGGTGCACTGCAGTAGAGTTGGAAGGCTATAAAATAAGACCCTTTTTAAGTGGCAGCTTCGATTTCTAAAACTGAGATTCAATTTTCTAATTAAAATCAATATTTTGAGACATAAACCTAGCATTGTAGTAGCCAGCAACAATTCCTTCCCCATAAATCCTTGCCTGTTCTGAAGCAGTTTAACAGGCAGTAGTATTTTGAAAGCATGACACAGTGACAGTCTCTGCTAAGAAAGGATTCTAAACAAAGTAGAGCCATCTTCCATTTTTTGAGTGCCACTTCAGTTAAATTGTCAGTCATTTAGGGATGGTGGGACAACTGTTTAGCTTTGCCTATGTAGCAATTTCTCTTTTCTGCTTTTCTTCTGCAAATCCTCTAGCTCTATCATAAACCAACATTACAGAAATTGAAGGACTATTAAATATCATGGAATATCTGAACCTATTAACCTTTATTTGAGAAAGCAAAGCTTAAGCTAAATAGGAAACTTAAATAGTATATCAACAATTGGCAGAACATCCCAGGACAGATTCTGTTCAGCCACTTGACAGTAGAGCAGTGGAACTTTCAAACTACAGAGAAAAATACCTTAATCACTATAAAGTTAGAAGGAAACAGTTTCCTGACTGTTTCTGTCAGGAACCTTGATGAGTTTGCAGAAAGGGAATATCTATTCAGAAAAGAGTAGTAAAAAAAACCAAAAAGAAACAAACAAACAACAACAACAAAAAACATAGAGTAATTGCAAGTTTCTAAAGCATGAGTATCCTTCCTGGGAAAATCCTTAAGGAAGGAATAGATTATATGAAGAAGTCATATGATGTGTTTGGGGTGTGCGTGGCAATGACGGCCAAGTGAAATGAAAATTTACTGGACTAAAACCTGAGAAATATTCCCATAAAAAAAATTTGGTGCAGTAAGTTCAAGGAGAAAAACATGGGACATGCTCACATGCCAAGAAATCTTCGTCCAGTAAGAAGATAAAACACGTGGTCAGTTTTGAAATGAGTTATACAATATACAGGAAAGACAGAAGTCTCTATGCAAAGATGAAAATGCTGAAATAATTGGATTTCCTTCTGGCACACACACTCCCCCCTACCTACCCTCCTTCCTCCGAGCTTGGTTAACTGGGATTTATTTGTTTGAACAGCAGCCTTATGCTAAGGGTAGCTAAGCTGCAGCCACATAATACACCTTGCAGAAAAAAACAAAAAAACAAACAAACAAACAAAAAAAAAAAAACAGAACAATTTTAAATCAAAGTGAATGATTACATTTCCCATTAGTGGCAATCAAAATCCCCATCTGGGCTGCAGAGAGAGCTCATGCAGCAAGAACCAGAGATGGAGCACCATCGCGGGTGGGAGAGAGAGCTCCCCGCATTGCCCCTCTCCACTTCTATACTTGAGGCACTGTTGAACACATTAAAAACAGCAGCATTTACTCTGCAGTTCGACTCCTAAGAGACCACTCTGCAATTTGCTGCTGTCAATAATATATTAACCACAAGGGGGTTGTAATGACATTTCACATTTGGCACGATATTTTTTTAAAACTGATTTGGGAGAAGGAATTGTATTACAGGCATATTCAGATGATAGCAATAGACAGCTCCTACACAACCTTCCATTGTATCTTTTGTATTTTGTGAGCCAAAACAAAAGAGATTGAAATGCTATGGCAATAATAATAATAAATGTTGCATTCTTGCAGTCCCAGTTCAGAGGTCAGCCACTACTCAGGGCCAATAACAGCTACGCTTAAAAGTAAACAAGTTCAATTTTTTTTCTCCATTTAGCTTTGACCACTAAATAACTACTGGGGCAAAGATTCTTACTGCTACAGTCCTGCCATCAGTAGTCTTATTAATATTTTTCAGACTGAGGTTATGGAGAGAATAAGCCTACTGCAGCATTTCCACCTGGCAGGCTTTGAAACTAAAGCGGGAGGAAGAAGACCTAGACAACAAATGAATTCTGCATATAAAATGATGCATGGTTTAGTTATACTGCATATTGAAGACTGGCCAGAGACAACCATATGCTGCAATCATCATTAGCTGACCATATTCCACTGGTAATTCTATTTAAAGAAATTACACTTAAACTGTGTGAAAGAAAAATACTTCCGTATTCAACACACTTAAGCTCTGTGCATATCTAGAGTCACTGCGACTCCTTTAGTAAGAAAAGACAAGTTACACAGCTTTTCCTTGCAGCCTTCTCATTCCTTCTAGTTCTGCAGTGCCAACACAACTAAGGAAGATAAGGAACATTTTCTGTTGTAAAGCAATTCCTACCAATTGCAAAGATTCAAATTCTGCTCTGTATCTCACTTCTGTAACCCTGTGCTTTTCCTAGAGTTGTAATCACGAGACAGTGAGGTAAATTTGTGCTGGTTACACACAGAAAGAATTCTCTTGGTTCACAGAGGCTTTGGATCATGAATTGCGGGATGAGCATACTGTGTGCTGCAAGAGAGACAGCCACAGGAGAAAAAAAAATCAGATAAGGGCTAGCAAATGCACTTGAGTTTTTAGCAGCAAGAATTACGGACTTCTGACTTTTTAAAGATGCAATAGACAAATAAGAGTTTAATGAAGTTTTTAGAGGGCAATGCACTTTTTGTTCCTAGCAATGTTGCTTGTCTGGGTGCTGAAGTGCTTTTCTGTGTGTTTTTTTTTTGAGAGAGACAAGAAGGTCTCAGCCACAAATATTTTTCAAATCTCTTGTTATGACAATCTGAAATACAAATATTGCTCACAGTGTCTGTAGGAACCTACATTTTAGACATGACAGTACTGCTATTTATAAAGCAGTCATGGAGAACGAGACAATGAATTATTGTGCTTCTTAAAAGATAATTATATATGTTTCTTATTACTGTTCTCTAGAAATTTGGGCAAAATTGTTAAGTATATATACTTTTTATCATAGTTAGAGGTTAGTGAGATCTACTCATGTATTACGTTGTGGAGGCAGGCCTCTGCTAGTGGAAAGAAGCCACTCAAATTTTGCATTTGATAATCATCATTCCTATTGCAAAATGTTCAGATAAAGGTCTAGATGAAGACTCTCTGAACTGCAGAATTAAAAAAAACCCCAACAATTCATTCATAATTTCCACCTGATGACCCACTAATAAAATATGGTATAAAAAACACTCTATTTCACATTAATTGGAATTTTTCCTTTCTAAAGAAAAGAAGAAAGTGATTCAATACTTAAGGAATTGCTTAGCTTAAACCCTTTACTGAATATCGGATCTTGGGAATCTGGCTTTCCCTAAGCCCACTAAAAATACTAACCTGTGAAAGAGGGCATTCTTTGGCTAATGTGCTCTGATTCATCTCTTTGAGCAGTTCCTTTAAGGCATTGCGAACTGTGGCATGGTTCCACTGCTCTGCTGGCAAGTCTTCCAACTTGGAACAACTGTCAAAACAGAAAATAGAAAGAAACATCACCTTCACAGATACTTATACTTTGTGTACAAGAGCCACAGACCTTTAAGCAGTGAGCAGAAATAAGACTTTCTTGCTAAGCCAGTCCATCAAGGTGTTTCGCTCCTCTCTCCCCTCCCCATCACACCCAGCTCCCAGAAGATGTATAGGTCAACCAAAATTATGACAGTACATGGCAGGAAAAGCAGCTAATTCTACTATGATATACATTTTGCATAACCATTTCCTCTGGGGCCTGGGAGAGAGCTAAAGAATTCTTTGTAGACCAAGCCACAGAATTGACTGGATAAAGCCATGCTCTTCAAACAAAGATATTCCTGCTGGGATAGAAAAATAAACATACATGCCACAATGTCACTAGCAAAATCAGTGAACAGTAAGGGTCCTTGCTGTGTGGAAACAAGGCTTTGAGCAGCACGTCTGAAAAATGAATTTCATTGAATACAGGTTCTTAGACTGCCCTCGTTGCTGAAGTATCTGAGAGCCTTTCAAAAACACACTAAACCATATGCCCAACATCTGTCACATGTTCATTCCACTTTCATTTTACAAGAATTGCACATGTAGTAAAGCTTTTGTCTTCATGTGATTTGTGCCTCCTCTAGTTTAACAAGCTCATGGGCTGTGTCTACATACATGGGGAGAGACCTAAAAAGCACATCAGAAAGCTGGGGAGAGTCATCATTGCCATTCATGCCTTGAGACTTAGTGCACACTCTCCAATCAGACACTGAGTTAGTTCTGCTTTCCACCTACACTGGCAGGCTTTACCCTAAGAGTTGAAAGTTCAGCTGTGCGTGAGGTGTTTAAGTAGTCAATGACCATCTTTATCTCAAAGTCATGGACTATCTTCTATTTACACTGCATCCAGGCCTTCAGGCACTTTGAAGATAAAAGCGAGACCTTGATCTTGGGTTGATACTCACTGGTAACACTAACAGAACAATAGGCTAGATGAAATCCTGGGAGCTCATACTTCTGGAGAGGTGAGTTACTGTTCTCCTTTTATAGTAAGCATAGACTCCAGATGCTTTCACAACTATGCCAAAGAGATGGTAACAGTACATAAAACCAAGGAAAGATCAGTAAGGGGAACTGGAAACCTCAACCAACATTAGAGATAACAAGAAGGAAATGCTGGCATTTAGGAACTTAACTTTAGTGAAGAGCTAACTACTTCCAAATTTCAAAGTAAACTGAACAGTTGGTAGGTATGTATACACCATCAATGGACCCTTATTTTGTTCAGTATGAGCTCTGATGAGCTTTGCATAAATTATTCCAGACACAGTGTGTCTGTCATCTTTGCCTCTTTCCTCTGATGTATCCTGTCCATAAAGCTACAAATGACTGTGCAATGCAGGCTTACCACGTCTACAGAGTGCAATGCACCCCTTGCCACAACTGCTTTCACAGGCACCAATTGCTGTTTAAAAACTCTTTTGAATGCAATAGAGAAAAATGGAAAAAAAAATGTAGAAGCGGGGAAAATGAGAGCAAGTAAGGGTAAAAGAATTAGGAAGTTTTGCTTTGCTAGTCAGAACTAGCATTCAGAAAAGGAAAATGTTTTTCAAAGGCCAAATGGATCTGCAGTAACAGATCCTCATCTTCTTGCTTTTCCACTGGGTAGACAACTGGAAAACAAAGGAATGCCAGCAAGCTCCTCTCCTCTCCTGTCTCAGCAACTGGCAGTAGAAGACTTGAGTCTCACAATGCAATCCCTGGAAAAAGGCAGGGTGTTTATTTTTTGTGCTCAGTAAGGCCTTGAGAACCCATCAAATCAGGGATTGTGGAACTCTTAGGTGAGTTTCTGCCCTTCCTCTCCCTGTTACCCTATCACTACTTCAGAAAACAACAAACAAAATCAGAACATGCACCAAATAGCTGTCAGATGACCTACCCTTCTCTTCATTTTTCCCACCCTGTCATCAAAAGACTAGAAATTAATGAAGACAGGATGTGCTGATCTCTATAGTAATGCTGTAATTGACAAAACAGCTCAGAGAATAGAAAAGGACAGATGTTTAGAAACACCTACCTTTGTAATTGGATTTTCAGTGTCACAACATGATAGACATCTTGTAGCATGTCAGCTACTGTTGCATCTGGTGCATCGGTCACATAACTGAGAGGGAGGGGATTCCACCTCCCAAGCTTGATTATTCCTGAAAGAAAACAAAATATTCATACTTTGCAATTTACTGCCTGTTTACTAAACCTTTTGATAAGCTTGTTTGTTTAGGAGATTCAGTATGTGCCTTGAGGCTTATTGCAGTTGTTCTAAAAAAAAAAAAAAAAAAGTTTTGTACTGAATCCTTAAGCAAACCATGGGAAACAGAACGAACAGACTTCAAATTCTTAGTGGAGAGTTGCTGACATGTTCCTGGCTCTTAAATTGCTTCAAGGAAGCACAGAATGCTTCCCCACTTCACATCTTTCATCGTCTCACTAAAGACTGCCTTTCTAAGTTAGAAGAAACTTCAAATACTCTACAGTCCACACTTCGTAGCCTCCAAAACCTTTCAGCAAATAAATGCATTGGTTTTGACTTGAACAGGAAAATACCTACATGTGGGCTTTCAGCACAGTTAAGATCTAATAATGGTGTTACTCCCAGTGCAGATAGATAGCACTGGAAATCCATGAAGTAGGAATTCACTCCCAGCTGCCAGTCACACTATACAGATAGCTGCATTTCTTAGCAAAAAAAAAAAAACAACAACACAACTGTAAGCTGTTGACTACAGATCCAAAAAAGCACGGGGGCAGTGGGGATGTTGTAAGTCCTGTTTCTACTTCTGTTCATTCTTTAATAGGGACCATCACCTCTCTGGATGTGCTTGTCACAAAGACTATAAACTTCAATGGTAAACCATTTGGTGTAGAGGTATTATTTCTGTTTAGACAACTGCCGTGGGCCTGCCCACACCAAAAACAATGACTAATATCCAGGAATTACTGCCAGGAAGAAGGCAAACAAATAAAAAAAAAGCCACAATGACACCTTACATGAAAACATTGCAGCTCAGCCTTGTTCTGTACTGTATAACACATCACAACTATTACTTTTATTCTCTCTTTTACCATGTTGCCATTGCCCAACTGCTCTGCCCACATAACTTCTTTTAGCTCAGCCCCACAAGATGCCCATCACCTTTTCTCCCATTTCCCCCCAACGGCTGAGGTCTGCCTATTTATTCTCTCGAAGGATGCTATGAAGCCAAGAAACAACACTCCTCACCTTACTTCCTACTGGTTCTTTACCAGCTCTGGAATTAATCCAACTAAAATAAATGGCAAAGGCCTTTTATACTCATCTTTAAAACACAACTGTAAAATAAATAGCACATCCGAAACAGTGATACAAATTTTCTTGCACAGACACAAGAGGACACCACATTCCTGAGGCCTTTAAATACCTCATATGGAGTAGTTTTTTTCCTCTTTCATAGACATAAAGGAGAAAACAATTAGAGAATAACTCCTTTTCTACAGCACACGATTGTTTGCATTTACCACTGATACAGTGATTTGCAAGGTATTCCATCACCAGGTCTTGAGAGAAGCTAGAAGAGACATGATTTATCTTCATTGGTACAAAGTTTCAATGTAACATGCTGGTACAGGCAGGCTAATGCTTCAAGAACAGATTAGAAAACTTTTGGCACCCAGAGATCTTGTCCAAATGCAACAAAAAGTTAGCTAGTATTGCTTGATATCTAATGCTTGAAAATGGGACATAAACAGAACAAAAACATTTAAATGATGCACTGTTTCAGTATTAAGATTTAACAATCTGGTGCTGAATATGCTGTAGTATAAATAGTGCCTGGACTCCAATCCAGTAGAGTAACACACAGCACTCATTCACAGCACCGTATGTCTCCAGTGCTGGCTCCTTGAGTCATACTCCACTTGCCAAGAAAAGCTGTTTTTCTTAAGGGGATAGTTTACTTAATGTTATCTCTGGTGGCAACAAGAAATGCATATAGTACGGTGTATACTAGTCATAAAATGAGCATCAAGGGTCCACCAAGTGAAATACATGCTGGGAAAACACAGTTTAGCAGCTGACTTCCTTCATCCCCTTCTGCTATACAATAATTTAAAGCAAAATCACCTAAAAACCCAGAAATCTATACCAGCTTCACAGAACACTTGGCTTCCTATGTTTAACCATGCCAAGTTTTCATGTAATTGAAAAAATAAGCATCATATGCGCCCCATAAGTCACATCCAAATTGGTAATATTTATTTTTCATTCAATTAAGGAAAGCACTCAGAGAGCATTCCATCTGCAACTGCTCGGCCCTGGCAGTGCTGGTGAGAGACAAAGAGACAGTAGGGGAGCACTGAAGTTATCAAAGGTGTCCCCAAACTGAAAAGTTCAAGGAAAAGGAAGACAAAAAAACCACACACACAAAAAAGCACACCCACAGTGCATCACGGAAAATACTGTGCAAATTGCTTCACAGCAAATGTCTGCTACTACTGGAAGTCAGGTAGGCTTTTTTTCTTTTTTTCTTTTTTCTTTTTTTTTTTTTTTAATCCTCCTCTGCAACTGGGGAGGAAATTGTTTTGGCTGCATTTAGACAAACACAGGTGTTACCAGAATGCTCCATGCCTCTGCATGTTAACACCTGCTGCAAGTCCTTTACGTTACAGCGCTGCTGATGTACGCTATTTTTTCAGCCGGTGTGATACGACGTGTGAATTATTTTTTTTCCAGAACACATTAAGCTGGTCCAAATGATAGCCAGAAGCCATGGTTTCCATCCAGCTCCTCAGCAGACTTTACAGGTGGTTTATTTCATTGCTCCAACACTGTATTTAAGGGAATTCCTGGGCCAGATTTGGGAAGATGATGCCAGTTTGTTGAGCAAACTCATCCTCAGCAAGCTAAAAGTCATGTCTCTGAATTTAAAACCTGTGGGCCAAAGCTTTCCCTCTAAGAAGGTCCCTTCTCATCCAGGACTGCTGGACTGCTAATGCAGCAGCAACCCACAGATGAGAACAGCCAGCAGCAAGGCGTACATTCTACAAGCACTTTTTTATGGCTCTGCTCATTGAATCCATACAGCACAGCTCAGAGCTTTAATGTAATCACTTCAAGAAGTGAAACCGAGCTTTACTCTACCATGAGCTGAGATTCTGGAGTGAGGACAAAAATGAGCCAAGGTCACTGTCTGTTTCAGTGAATAGCCTACTGCTCCAGAAGCAGATCGGCTTGCTTAGGAAATTTGAAAGCACATCCTTCAGGAATCCACAAAACTCTTTTCTTAATGAGTCTCATTCGCTTTCTTGTATCAACGATCCCTTGGGATTCCCATCTCATAACAAGTTCTTTGGAAGGAAAGTTCAACAGATTTCAAAGATTACATGGTAAAGAAATGGTTATACATGAAAACAGCTCTCAAAAACCCCCTAGAAGTGGCTGACCGTTGCCCAGGTCAGCTAGCCAAATGAAGACAAAAAACAAACCAAACAGCTTTCTCAAATGAATTTTTTGTCAGATCATATTTTAGAAGAGATTTTCTACTCATGTTGGCTAGTAGTTCTTTAATGGCATGTCCTGCCAAAGATAGGTCTTTCATTAAGCTTAAACCTCAGCAACGTGTTCACCAGGCACTGAAGACAAACTCATTTGTTTTATCAAAATGCAGACATAAAATTAAGGCAGAGCAGTCTAATGTTAAATTTGTGCAACTCCCTTTCCCCGCAGCCATGCCATAACAGACTGGTGGCACACTTCTGCGAGCTCACTTGTCAAATTCATCCACAACAACTGGACATTTTATATCAGCATCACCACCACTGCCTCAACAGTTTTCTGGAGACAGCTACAAAATGAATCATAAACGAATCTTGCCCAAGTATGTACAGAGAGTGAAAAAGAAGAAATTTTGTGTTCTTTGGCTAATGCTGAAAAAGGGGATTGCAGAGAACAGCAATTCTTTACCAAGCATGATTAAGAAAAGCACTTGTCAAAGATAAGCTGACAAACCATTTGAACTCCTAATGCACAACACCAAAAAAATTTACTAAAGCATAAGCAAATGTAACCTGCTGAGACTCATATGGGATGTGCCTGTCAATCTCTTTGTAGACTGATAGGCACACTCAGATTGTAAACTGTGTGCTACAAAGCTCTTTTCTGACACTCCAGTCCATGTTCACTGACCTTGAAGCAGCACTCTTCCAAACGGCTGAGGGAATGGGCAGTGCCCAAGCCGGTATATGGTCTCCTGGGCTAAATTTACCACTTCAAAATGTTTTGAGAAAATTTGACTTGGCAGTGTTATACCAGACCCAAGCTATGTCCCATGTTGCTATGGCTATTCCAAAGTTCAATTTACTGTGTTACAGGATCACAACCTGAAAGCATTTGACTGCAAACACAAGGCTGGGTGAAGAACACAACCATCATCTGTTGCCATTCCACAGGTTCAGTTAAATAGTCTTAGTTAAACTTCCTAGTTTTCGACAGAGCTCTTATAAAAAACAACTAGAACTCAGAAGAAACTATAGCTTGGAATTAATATCCAAACACTTCTGATTAATTTACAGCTCCAAACAAAAGACCTCAATGAAACACTCAATAAGATCCCTGTCCTGTTTACCTACCAACCACTGCTGACAGGGTTCCCTGCAAGACAAGGGGTTTGACACTGATTAGATCTGTTTCTCTTTAGATTTGTCTTGTCCCTATACCGTGTGTGATTTTCCTTTGTTCAGCTGTGCTTTGTTACAGAAACTTAAAACTGCCTGTCCCGTGTAATAAGTACATCAAATTATTTACCCATAAATCAGTTTGCAGGAAATCACTACCCTGCAGTACATAATAACTCAGCCTGTGTTTCTAACCTGCGTTCTGGCTGTAATATATCATCAAACTGTAACAACAATAAAGGCATAATTTGTACTTATTATTGTTAATCCAGCAAAGGGAATGAATTTTCAAGCAGAAAGGAGGGGAAAAAGCAACAGGAGCAATTAAAAAAAAAAAAAGACCACGCTAATTTTTGTATTACATAACTGTATTACTGAGTTGCCTTTCCAAGTTCTTATGATAATTTTTAAAAATTCTGCCTTTCCCTGCCATTATAGGGGTGCCCACATTCTTCTATTGAATTTCAATCAGTGACATATTGGGGTAATAGATGGG